GAGATATTAATGATGCATTGCACGGCCGAGCATGCTTCCGTTTTTTGAAGGCGTCACGCGTGAGACTAGTATTATGACTAATGCGCCATGTGATTGTGCAATATTTATGATCCATGAAAACGATGTGGAATTGCCACGAGATGTGTCGGCCCGGAAATGTTTTACGATAATGTACGAATTATAAGACAATCGAAAATTCAGTATCACATTTATATATTTTGATATAACAAATTATTATTTTTATTCGAATCTAATTCTGATTTAATATATGATCCATATATAAATGCTATATTAATTTTTTTTTAAACTAGTTCGATTATTATTGCACATACGTATAAAAAACATACCAAACATTTTAAAACTCTAAAATTTTTAACGCAATATTAGCAGACTGGAAACGCGGTTCCCCCGGTGTTAACTCAACGCGTTATGAAACCCCGAGTGTGTCGAAGGACTAATCTATCCCCTCGGCATGTCATGGGCGACCGTATAGCGACAAAACGACGGCGGCGGCGGGCGTCATATTTTTGCAGCGATGATCGCGCGACGCGGTAAACGAAACAATAGCAACCGCCTGCAGCGCGATAAAGCCGACGATACCATGCGTGCATTCGCGCGAACGCGCGTGCTGCAGTTGCAGCGAGGAATATTGCAGCTGCAATTTTCATGAAATCACCTTTTACACAAAGCGCACCGATGCGACATCTCCATTAAGATTGAATTATGATCTGTTATTTTGTGCCACTCGAATGTGTTGGAAGAGGACAATTTTAATCACCAAATTCTGCGTAAAACGGCTGTAGGTTGCATGTAAAGGATACAGCATTATTTTATAACCGTGTCCTTTTCTCATCTTTTGTTTTTGTTAAGAGATATCTTTTATAAAGACATCTCGATAATTTCGATAATATTTAAAGTAAAATTGTAAAAAATTTTCGAAACCTCTCTCTTTTTTTTTTCTCGTAACTTATTCCTCGATTTCTTCACTGAAAAGAGATACAATTGCCTTGTAGCTCACATAGTTTGCGAACGTGCGGTAGTTGCGTCCCTGCCCGATAGTTACGGACGGTGCTCGTCAGCCGAAATTCCGGCCTTTATTCGACGAGCTTGTCGGCTCGAAACGAGAGCCGACTCGTCTCTCTCTCTCGGCGACGCCTACATATACTATCACTGCTGTCGTTCAAAGCAAGCGTCCGCGGATACAATATAGGACTGTCCGTCACGACGGAAAATCGCGCGCGTATTCGAGAGGGAGAGAACGCGTGTACCGACACGACACGATACGACGCTTCGCGTCCCGTGGTGTCCCTCTCGTTTCACGGGACGCCGCGTCGAGTCGAACCAACCTGCCAATCCCGCCGTCATCCTTGCTGAGAGAACCGAATACGAACGCGTCTCGAGCGGCTTTTTTTCGCCGATCCGAGCGTACTACTATTTGTATTGTGTACCGAAATAATGTACGAGAGGAAGAAAGGAGGATATACGCTTTTATCCGTCTTATCCGACATACTGCTTGTCACGCGCGTCATATTAAGCCATATCGACGAAACGTCGCGGAATCTCTCGTCGATTCGCGCGACAACAAAATATTCTCAAGTATATTCGACGAGGGAAAGAATGCGTGAAGAAAAGATAAGTCGATCGAATGACATTTATATCTTAAGAGACTATTTAAAAGAACTGTTCATGTGTCAAAGAAAGCAGTTTAATTTATCTCGGTAATTAAATTAAACATTTAAAAATAATTTCAATCTGAAACTCTTTATTCTTTCCGAGTAAAAAACTTGATATTCGCGGATTTAAAGTATAGAAATACACGATGCTATTTTTACGAATAGCAAAAGGTGAAGAAAAGCAATTATTTTTTTTTTTAAACGGCGAAATAACTTCCGGACGCGGCAGAGACGCGTTCTGAATGGCTGACCACTACAATAAGAGGCTAGCGCGGCTTCGCTAATTCATGCTAATTTCGAAAACTTTTTGCATCGTTTAATTCAATTAGTTCCGCTCTTTGAATGTGGCAATTAGCATATTAACTTGACTATGCGAACCTCCCGATGCTGTGCCCCGCTCGCGCAACCAAAGTCGCGACTTTTCCACTTCTCTATCCCTTTACCGGATGATGCCTCGCTCATTATCCGAACCTGTTTCAAACGTTATCATGATGCAAATTGAAAGCTAACATTTTTGCTCGCGACGAAAATATGGCAAAAGTAACGAGACGTCTCGCAAATCCGTATATTCGAAATTCAATTTGAAACCGTGTTCGCATAAATTTGAATAATTAAATCGGTGGATTTCGAGGGTAGACACCACCGTTAATCTAATTAATTTTTTCTATCGTCAAAAAGGTCAATGTGTCGACTTAGAGTGAAAGAAGTACAACCGATTAGAAATTTGATCATCTCTTTAATAGTGATAACAAGCGAGTCAGCTTTCGCAAATTAAAATAATAATTTTAATTATAATTATATTATAAATCTCGTGCTTTAAAATGCCTTTATCAACTTGACAATAAAAATAAATCTCGAGGAAAACAGTTATCGATAATTCAACGAAATCAATCCCCAAGAGTCAAAAGAATTCGCGCAGCGAGATCGATGTAACCGAGGAAAAGTTTGCGAACTATAACTCTCTGGTTGCGCTCATCATCGGAAACGTGAAACGGACGTAATATAACTGATCGCTTCTACAACTTCTTTCGAGACGAGCTCTCCTTCAAGGCCATCGGCATTGTCGGAAATCTTCCACGGCTATCCGAATGAATAACGCGTCCGCCTTTGTGCGCCTGTCGGAAAACATTACGAGTCGCCTCGTTAATAAGTCGCGCGATATAAAATTGACGAAACGAGTTCTGCAGACGTTTAAAGCAATAATTAATATGGGGGGAACAAAATGACAGCGCAGGCTCTCTATATCTCGGGACATCAATCCAACGTTGAATATTTCTCATTCACTGATCACGAGATAACATAATTTTAATAGAAATCTATCGAAGAAAGAGAGAGAGATTTTTACAAAAATATCTTTATAAATGTGTACGAAATTTCATATAAAAATATCAAAAAAAATGAATATATTAATTATTTAGTCTCAAATTGGGTTAAATTATACCTGATACAATGATTGGCCACTGTTAATGAATCCAATTAAGATATAAATATAATACGATATTAATTAAGATATTAAGAAATTAAAATAAAAAATGAGGCTATATTAAATACAGGATAAAATTAAATTAAATCAAAATTTAATTTTTTAATGTACTGAGTGAGATTAGTGTAGAAACATGACTGCGCGATAAAAACTGTGACAATTCTAAAGTAAATCAAGGTATATCTAGATTTTAAGTAACTATAGATCAATGTTCTTATCTTTAAAAAAGGATGTAATATCTCAAGATAAAAGCTGTTACAACTATACGTGACTGACCCGACTTAGGTTATCCGACAAGATCATTAATCGAAGCGATTTTTCTAAAGCTTATCCGATGTTATCGCGAGGCGTGTAAGATACTTTCTTGGAGAAAAAAAAAGCATAAAATTTTCTAGCTACTACTCAGCTTTAAATTTCAATCGTTAATGCGAAATGCATATCGGAGGATTGTTAAACATTTAATTTAATCCAAACTCAATCAGAACTGAGTCCGATCATGTCTGATAAGTTTGCAAAGCAATATTTTCATTTGATCAAAACTTTGTTGAAAAGTTATACAAGTCGAACAAATTGAATTGCGAATAAAATTGTTACATGTAGTGACTTTTTAGAGATGCGTTCATTTCGGACGCAAAATTGCATTTCGCAGCGATTGAATCGAAGAGAACGAAGCTTTATATGCAATAAAATACGGCGTAAGTTAACTTTGCGTGAATTTGTTTAGTGCGTCCACAAATAAAATTTATTTCACTGATTCGCAACAGTTTAAAATTCGGCGTATAAATTATTCCACATTATTATACCATTCATGATAAAAATAAAAATATTGATAAAAGTATTGGCTATTTTTTCTGTGCAGTTAATCGCGAAGTTTATTCGGTAAAAATTTAGTCGATTACTTCGGTTCGAATTCAATTCCCGAATAAATCATCGTAGTCGCGTAAACGTTCTTGATTGGAAAGAAGCTCGATTAAATGCATGCAAATGCAATTGTACGTGACGACATCGCAAAAGAGTTTAATGTCTGACGTGCCTTATAAAATCGCCCTTCGCGCGCGAGAGGAGGGTCGAATAAATTTCATTAACTCATTAGATTTGCCGTCGTCGTCGTCGTCGTTGTCAACATTACGCAACACGCGAAACATCGTTAATTTCGGAGTAATCGTCATATTCGCGCGTACGACGAATAATGCTCTCTTCTTTTCGCTCTAACAACGGGGGTGAGAGAGAGAGAGAGAGAGAGAGAGAGAGAGACAGAGAGAGAGAGAAAGAGAGAGAGAGAGAGAAAGTGCGATCCAATTTACTATGGAAATCCTACGGTCGCCCCTTCCCCTATCGAGAAAATCAATTACGTCGAATGAATACAACATGAAGGGTATAAAGGGTTAGCCGCGAGTCTCCGCGAACGGTAAGCGGAGCGTTTGAATGACACGAGATCGAACAACGAGATTGGATGCGAGAAAGGAATTTCGAGAGTCGCAGACCGGACAGATCTGATTTGTCAGGACGCGAAAATCATCGCTGACAAATCTCATTACGACGCTCGACTCGACGCTCGTGATTAGGGTCCGAAAAGTTCGGGGCGCCATAAAAGCTTTCGATCTTCACTCGATAAAGAACAAAGTCTTAAGATCGCAAATAATTAACAAGGATATTATAAAAGTAACAAAGTTATACTCCAATAATTTAGATGCAGCATAGTAATACATTTAGATAATATAATGATTATTATTATAAATTATTCACTGAATTGTATTGTGATTGACTCTATTCTCTCTGTCAAAGAATCATTATTAGATAATGAAAAGTAGCAAAAATATATATTTTCAATCGTCGTTACTTACCTTGGCGGGATCGGACTTCTCCTCTGGTTGCTCATTGAAGGTCTGCGAAGCTCTGGACATGGTGTTTCTCCGGGGTGTCGTCGTGCCATCTTGCGAAGGGCGCACAAACTCGATTCTACCACCCTCGACGACAATATTGGGGGCTGGTGGAAAATTCTCCGTGTTACCGACCGTGTCGCAGTAACCCAAAAGCCCGGCCTTTTCCCCGTACAAGGGGTGGATTTGTCTGCAACAGAGGGTAAAAGCTCGATTGAAGAACGCTTCGATAACAGCAGATGGTGCTTCAGATGTATCAGATAATTATCGATCTTCTAAAGACAATGATATGCTAATTTTTCTTGTTTTTATATATAAAATATTGTATAATGTATGTAAAATATATTAAACATTATTTAAAGTTAAATTGTTGTCAATTGTATGGTTTTTTCGAAATTTCAACTTGAGATTTAATTATTAACCGTATTTTTTTTTCTAACATGTGTCTTAAATGTTCAATGTTACCTCTAATTTAATATTGTATTATTAAATATGTAATATTACAATATTAAATTGAAGCTAATGTTGTAGAGTAATTATTGTATATTTAATTGTAATATTTAATTATTAATATAGTAATATTTTATTTTTAAAGTTGCATATGTTTAA